TTTAGTTTTATAAGTATTTATTTAATATGTATAATACTGTGGTAAGGACTGTGGAGCCCTGATTTTGCCCTTAAGTGATCATGATGGCCTTTGGTTTAAACAGACCTGTATTTGATTTCTTTTTACAGGTCTTATTGGGTGTGTGGTTACAGTCAAATTTCTTGAACTTTCTGAGCTTCAAGTCCTCATTTATAATCAAATGATGGACATTTATCTATATATTGCAAACATTTGTAAAACGAGGAAAATATCTCTAATCCCAGGATTGCTAAGAATAATGTTAAATCACAAAGTCATAACTGCTTCCCAACTTTTTTCATATTAGAGTATTCATAGAAAGTGACAGTATTTGTACAGTGTTTCCAGGAGAAACTGAAGAGAGTGGTGGTGGAGGCAACTGGCCAGGGGGTTCCAGCTGCCATACTTGACATACTTAAAGTATTCATTCATGGTGAGGCAATGTGTTGGGAGGCTCTGGGTTAACAAATTAAGTACATAACAGGTAGCAATGGTGAATAAATGTTCATTCTCTTGAAGCTTATCGTGTTTTGAAGAGATGTACACAAGCAAAACAGCTGAATAATGCCAAGGTTAGAGGTGACCAAAGGGCAAAATGAATGATTCAGAGAAGAAATCTTGGAAATTGTTAAGGAAAGGTTTGTGAGGGAATATTTTTTGGGTACTTGAGATGTGCCAAGCATCAAGAAGACAAAGACTCCGCTTCATCAGCTTTGTCTCCTTTTTTATCAGATCTCCTGTAGTAATAGCATGCTCTCCTAACAATGGCAAACACAGGTTTTGCTTGCCATGTACTTCCATTGTGCTACACTCCCCCTCCTTTTTTTGAGTTGTACAGGGGTTCTCAAACTTGGGTGCACATTAGAATCTGAGAAGCCTTAAAAATAGCTGGGCCTTTCTCCCAAATATTTTGATAAAATTGGTATGGAGTATTGCCTGAGCGGTGGGATATAAGAACTTTCTAAATATAATTTAATCTGTAAAACAACTTGAAAGATAGGTACAATTTACTGAGGCTCTTAGAGGGTTAATTAACTTGCTCAAGGTCACACAGCTACTGGAGTTAAGATTTAACACCAAGTGTTTTTGGCTCCAGAATCCATACTATTAACAACTAGCCTGTTCTATTTCTAGTGTTTGTAAGTACCGTTCATATATCAGAAGAGAAAACAAAAAAGAAAGCCTTTGCCTACCTTTATAACAAAGCCCTTCAAAAGAATTGTCAATACAGCTTGTCTCTACTTCTTCTCCTGTTCTCTTAAAAGCAATCCAATCACATTTAATAAAATTGAAAATTCTTACTGTGGCTTCTCAGTCCTTTGTATGTATCTTAGCTATTTCTCCAACTTTATTTTTTACCATTTTTCCTTTACTTGCTTGCTCTGCTCCAGCTGCAATGTTCTCTTTACTTTTCCTTGATCATGTGAAATCTGCCAAATATTTATGTTTTAGGGCCTTTAGAGTTTGTTTCTTGTCTGGAATGCTCTTGTCATATAACCCCATGGCTGGTTTCCTCATTAATTCAGATTTCTACTCAAATGTCACCATATTAGGGAGGTCTTCCTAACATATATTTATTTGTTGATTTGTCGATTGTCTCTCTCCAAATGAGTGAATGAGACATGGTTTCAGACCTAAACCCATAATCAGATGGGGGACATACATATATGTATTTGAAGACATATATGTATTTGAAGCAGCATTGAAGACTGAAACAGAATTTGACTAAGTGAAGAGAAGGGGACAGATCAGTCATTCATTTATACTCTTGGAAAAAAATGTGCAGGATACACATTTTTTTCCAAAAACTGATTTCTACTCACACATAATACACATATAAAGTAGCTCAAAAATTTGGGAAAATATCTAGTAAAGGGACTAGTAGGAAATACAATCCAATAATTCCACAACTAAGAACTACAACCAGTAGTTCTGCCACTGGGTCATGGAATTATTAACTGACTTTTAAAATTTCATTTTTATGCATTCTAGACTTTTCACGATGAACACTCTAAAATTACAGAGTTTTTGAAAATTAATTTTCAGCTCTGTAGAACAGGATTATTATCACTTTCATTAAAGCACCTAAATTAGAAGAAAGTACAATTACAAAATCATGCCATAAAGTGTACACATGTACATACTTATATATATATATATATATAAGTAAACATATATCTTTATATGCACCTAAATACATCTCCCACTGTTGCTGTTCTGAAAAGTGAGACATTATTGCATATTTCTATTGTCAGTTTTGTTGGTGTGCTTATCACACTAAAACAGAAAATGTTAATTTACTTGGCTGTCTTCTTTCTAGACCTTAAGCTGCTTAAGAAAAAGGTTCATGTTTACTTTGACTTTATATTGCCAGCACCTAATACTGTGCCTTCTGTAAGAGGTTAAAAGTTATTTGTGATTTAGGTCAACAAATAATTAGCAATATTCATTTTGTTAGATTTTATGTTATGTTGGTAGGGAGCTTGGTTTATAGAGTGCCTATAGAAACTAAGTTTTATTGAGTGTTTAGTATATGCCAAACATTTACTTACTCTTCACAGAGTTACAGGGTACTATGATACCCCCTTTTTTATAGCTGAAGAAATTTAGAGAAACTAGCATAAGTTGCTTGTTATGTCATGACAGATTTCAATAGGTATATCTGACTCTAAAACACATGCCCTTTCTGCTACTAAATATTCAATATTAGGGCTGGTTTTAGGTGGATGGGAGGGGTTAAAAACTAAAAAGAAACCAAAGAGGTTTGCCTTTTGATACAAAACAGAAGAACTGAGATCAACTTATTCACTACCATCAAGTTTTAAAACAATTGGAAACTTTCTCTTTTTTTTTCAGCAAACATCTTTTATATATGAAACAGTGCGAGGGAAATAGGAATAAAAAGCACTGATACAAAAAATGAATTATTTCTGCTTTTATTCTTTAATGACAAAGTTTTAAATTTCATAACAATGTAGTTGCCTGGCTAGGTAAACTAGTTTTTTTTTAAAATATAAATTTATTTATTTATTTATTTACTTTTGGCTGTGTTGGGGCTTCATTGCTGTGTACAAGCTTTGTTTAGTTGTGGTGAGTGGGGGCTACTCTTCGTTGCGGTGCACGGGCTTCTCATTGTCGTGGCTTCTTATTGTGGAGCACGGGCTTTAGGTGCGCAGGCTTCAGTAGTTGTGGCACGTGGGCTCAGTAGCTGTGGCTTGCGGGCTCTAGATCTCAGGCTCAGTAGTTGTAGCGCACGGACTTAGTTGCTCCCCGGCATGTGGGATCTTCCCAGGCCAGGGCTCGACCCCATGTCCCTTGCATTGGCAGGCAGATTCTTAACCACTGTGCCACCAGGGAAGCCCAAGGTAAACTAGTTTTAATGTGTCGTAGGGAGCCACCAATTAAACTGGAATTAGATCTTTAGGGATAGGACTTTTGGCATTATGCTTTGCAGTTCTAGCTAGCTTATCATTCAGCTCTTAAGAATATTTAATCAAGTAATTTCTTGTATTACCAGTAATCAAATAAAGTATTTGATATGTAGTTTCATCTTGGTAGGTGATTAGTTTTAATATGACCAAGGAACCAAGTACATGTGAACAGCTTTGCTAAGGAATATTCTGAGGTTATATCACTGTTGTATGATTGTTCTTAAACTGATGTTCATGGGCATCTGTTTTTGTGGAAAAGTTTGGATGTCTGTCAATCACATAAAATTGCTTGCAGAATTTAGTGTACATGTGTATTTTTTCTGAGAAGATCCATAGATTTTAGTAGATTTGCCACAGGTTTTTTTTTTTTTTTAGGCTTTATCTTTTATTTTTTTAAATTGAGGTATAGTTGACATATAATATGTAAGTTACAGGTGTTCAATACAGTGATTCACAAATTTTAAAGGTTATACTCCATTTATGGTTATTATAAAATATTGCAAAAGAGTTTGTGACTCTAAAACTTTGAGCTGCTGTTATAATGAAATCTTTTCATTCTAATCTTGTTCTGTTGATTTATATGTGAGACCAAAATGAAGAATGGCTATGTACCCCAAAAAACCTGTTTGCAAATTGAAGCCTTTTTAAAAATTGATTTAATGTAATTTCAGATTGGTGTATAGTTGTTAATGATTTTTAAATCCACATTATATTTTATCCTTTTCCATTCTATTCAGATATTACTGAGCTATGTGCAGAGGGATTTAGCTTTTTTTTTTTTTCTTGCGGTACGCGGGCCTCTCACTGATGTGGCCTCTCCCGTTGCGGAGCACAGGCTCTGGACGCGCAGGCTCAGCGGCCATGGCTCACGGGCCCAGCTGCTCCGCAGCAGGTGGAATCTTCCCGGACCGGGGCACGAACCCATGTCCCCTGCGTCGGCAGGCGGACTCTCAACCACTGCGCCACCAGGGAAGCCCGAGGGATTTAGCTTTTAGTGTAATTTTGTTATAATTTGAATAATTTTCTCCTAATTCCTTAGATATTTTTAGACTTGAGGAATTTAGTGTATTCTTTTTTGTTATTTTGTATCAGTTTGTCAAATTGCCAAGATATATATTATTGAAGATGAGAGTCTAAATTTCTTAAATTTATGGAAAAATGTCTTTTCATTTGAAGGTATACATCACGTTATTGGTAATGATTTTACAAGTGTCATTTAAAGTTATTTTTACATGAGTGATTTTGAAGTACAGTCTCCAAAATTAATTTTTTAATTGCATTTTAGGTAAAAAGATTGCCATATCAACTCACTGAAGCAATAGGTCACTGTCTTTTAAACTGCATCAACAATGAGGCAGTAATATCTGAGAACAAATGAACATTTGCCAACTAACTGTCATCACAATTTCAAGTGATTGTATAAGCAGAAACAAGCTGCAAAGGACCCATGTGTCAACTCTTACAGAGAGAATGCTTTTTTCAGATGCTGTTTATTTGGCAACAGTTTTAGTATATCACATTTAAGTTATATTTATATCAAATGAAATAAAAATGAGTGAAGCCCCCAGATTCTTTGTTGGACCTGAGGATACAGAAATAAACCCTGGAAATTATCGACACTTCTTCCACCATGCAGATGAAGATGATGATGAGGAGGATGAATCTGTAAGTTGTTTGTTTAGTGAAGACCAGTACAGTCTGGGCTTTTTACTGATCACTGTGAAGGGGAATTGATACCATTGTCTTAAATTATTAAGACATTTTTTTTCATATAGAAATTTGTTGGAAAGTTTTAAACTGAAAAAGCATACTGTGTTTCATTAGTAACATTACTGAATCTATAGTGCTTCAAGAAAGACAATTAGAGGTCAGATTTCTAAGTTGTTTAATAATGACTAATTTAGTGTCTTTGATTGCTATGCCTAGTATAACACAGGGTTAGGTAGAAAAAGTGACAAGGAGAAAGAGTAATCAGGGCCATAAATCAAAAGGGTTCCTTGTATGTAGAAGTGCTACAGCAAATACATCAAGATAAAGAATTTTAAAAGTATTAAAGAAGAACTGCTTAACCAGCTTCATTAAGTTTGTCATGTTGTCAACACAAGTAGTGGTTGACCTGAAGATATCCCTTTTGTTAACTCTTCAGAAGTCTAAACTGTGTGGCTAGGAGAAACTACCACAAGTGTCTACGGGTGTGTGTGTGTATGTGTGTAAACCATACTGGATCTTTAGAGTAACACACATTTATTATGTTTATTTTGCTATGGTTATGTTAGCTCAACATTTTTATTACTCATCATTTTTGTCCCTTTACAATTAGAGATTGCTTTACTTTGAGAACCTATTTAAAATACAAACTTAAAATATGTGTTTCTTATATTTCCAATTGAAAAGAGAATTTTGTTTTAAAATAAAAACCTATTATACTTGATGTAAGTAGTAAAAATGAACCAAAAATAGCTATTAGATGACTCTTCAAATTCTTTCACTGTTATTTAACAACACCTTTCACAGTGCAGTTATACATCTGAAACGCAAAATCAGACTGTCACCCATTTAAAATATATCCCACCCCACCACCTCACCCCTAGAAAAAAATGATGGTTTTCAAACTTCTCATACCAGCCAAAACTTTTCTTCATCTAAAGTCTTATGTAGAAGTCCAGTAACTAAAACATAAAAGCAGAGCTTCTCTAACTGACTTAGACTAGAAAGTACTTTTGATTCTGCCTCTGCTACGCTTACCCCTTTTCTTTAGAGTTCTTCTGAGCACATGAGAACACCACTGATAAATCAAGTCCAGTCTTCTTCCATATAAGGATTTTTATCTCTCTCCTATGTCTAGAACTGTACTTGTCTATCTTCTCTTTTACCTTTTATGTTTTAGCAATATCAGATTTTTATTTCCCACATATTCCATCTTGTACCATGCCTCTTTGCTGTTGTATGTACTTCATCTCTGTGAAATGCCCCTCCTTTTTAGATAATTTGTGAATCATTTTTTGTTCTTCAAAACCTCAGATTTCATGTTCTTCAGTCTTCCCCCTCTCCTTACTCTTTTCCCCATGAGAAATTTGAACATTTTTTCCTCAATACCATTTCTATACCTTGACTATATACTTCTATTCTGTGTATCACTATGTACTGTATGGTTACTGTGTTTCCTGTTAGATTCAAAGTGCTTGATGACAGGTAGTTTCTGTATATATAACTCTTCAGTGCTTAGCATAGTTCTTGGAATATTGGTACTAATTAAATTGAGTTCACATTTTGAGGAGCTTGATTTGGTTCATTTGATCTGTAGATTGATAAAATGATTTGTTCCAGATCGTTCTGTTAAGGTATTGAAGACGTTAGGTTGAGTACTCTTGTTGTCTAGGGAAATCTACTTAAGCAATATCATATTGAGCTATGCTGAGGCTTTTGATCAGGAAAGAATTGAATAAGGGAACATAAAAGTAGATGATCAGAGGGTGAAAGATAGCAGATCCCAGGGAGGTTAGGATTTACAATCTTTGATGGTAACATCAAATCCAATACCAATTTGAACTCTAAATTTCATATGAGTGAGAGGAATAATGCTAAGCATAAAGAAGAAGAAGAATTCAGATTTGGCCCTGTTTTACTTTTAGATTTATAATAAGAGAAAGTCTAGTAAAACACTTTTGGGCCCAGATTATAATGTCATATGAAATAAATAAATATAAAATAGAGAAGAACTGAAATGGAAAACTGGACACAGCTTTATATTTGATAAAACTCTCAAAGTACCTGAAAGCAAAGACCTCAGAATGAATCTTGAGTAATTTTATAAACCCATGAGCTACTCATAAGTTTTCTATATTCTGCGTTTTAAATTTCAGGCTGAATCATGGCCTTTGAGCTGTAGCAAGGGTGCCAGAGATGAGCAACACCGTAAACTAGGAATGTTGAGTACGAAGATTGGGGTGTCAAAGAGCATAGACACCTCTGTTTAGCAGTGTGGCTTTCTCCAAAATTTCCTTCTAAGTTGTCATTGGTGACCAACTCATATTGAAGCTCAATCTACAAAAATATTTTAACACTGCATAGCTTTGTAGTGAAAATATCTTATTTTAGGCAAGAGAATTCTTTATCTCACTCCTATTGGCCCTTTTGCTCCTTTAGCAATTTAACAATTTGTTAAATTGTTATTTAGCAAATAAATGCTAGAGACAGTTAAGGAAGTATTTAAGTTTGAAATCTGAATGAAAATAGTAACAGTGTTCTGAAACTTCTTTAAAAAAATTTTTCCAGACCTTTGTAGAAAACTATTATTCTTAAGTATTTATTATAACAATATAATCTTGAAAAATGCCTGTTTGGGTAATGTGTCACTTTTATTGATTCATCACATACTTTATGTACTTCTGACAGAGATTTAAGATAGCTGTACCTTGGAGTTGTTATCAAGTCAACGTGATTTTTTGTTTTCTTTCTGTTTTAGCCACCGGAAAGGCAGATTGTGGTTGGAATATGTTCCATGGCAAAGAAATCCAAATCCAAACCAATGAAGGAAATTCTTGAACGGATCTCCTTATTTAAATATATCACAGTAGTAGTATTTGAAGAAGATGTTATTTTGAATGAACCAGTAGAAAACTGGCCTTTGTGTGATTGTCTTATTTCCTTTCATTCTAAAGGTAGTAAAACAGGGAGGGAAACCTCTTTGTCCTTTCTAACTATAAAACTAATAGATAAAATAGAAAAATAAAATTAAACTCGCCTAGTCTCACAAATAAGTGATATTAACATTTTGATATATTTCTTTCCAATCTTTTTTTCTGTGTGTATTTTTTAAAGACACATTTAGTGTTATAGTGTATATGTAATTTTATATTTAATTTTTAACCTAATTACATCAAGAGGTTTTCCCCTTCTATACCATTTGTCAAAAACCTGATTTTTAATGGTGTCATAGTATATCATCCTGTGGATGTACTATATCATACTTAACCAATATCCTAAAAGTTAGATGGTTTCCAATTTTTACTATTAAAAATAAGGTTGTGATGAACTTTTTGAATGTATGTCTTTATTTACAGCTGTAAGTTTCTTAGGACAAATTCTTGATATTTTAAATATTATAAGCCTATATGTTTTGCCATGTAGAAGATGATCTATCATTCCTCAATACATATTCATGCTTTATTTCTTAAGAACTTAATATTTGAATTTTATATTTTCCTTGCTATCTTTTATAAATCAAACTGAAATATCAATTAAGCTTAAGTATTTCTTCAAAGTAAAGTCCACTAATCAAAAGTTATTAAGTGTATGTCTTTATAACCTAAGAATCTGTGAATTAAGTGAATTTTCATTAAGACTCTAATTTAAAAGATATGCACTTATTCAGTTATAAATGTATTCATTTACTCAGTTATTTATTCAGTTATAAATGTATTCATATTAAATTGTTTTTGTTACCAAACTAATATAGCTTCCAGGTGTGTTAAAGTCTCACTTTAGTTAGGTGTTTAAAAATCATCCCCTTCAGCAAGAAGGGGATGGAGCAGATTAAGAGTTTTTGTGCTCCCATACACTATATTGATTTTCATTATTTCATAGAGAAGTCAAGTCCCTGGTCTTCTTTACAGACTGAAGTCATTCATTTTAGAGAATCTTAAAATTTGCTTATCCTTGATGGTAAGGTGTTCTTCCCTTACTATCACATGGTTCTTCCTATTTATTAAGCTAGTTATTTGCTTGTAAAAACTAGATACTACCTAAGATCGTATCCCACATGCTGCCTCTTTAACAGCAACAAAAGCAGGGTAATGAATATATAGGCATTTCTTATTTCCTGAATTCTGTTAGAAGGCTTCAAACCATAGACATTGAGACATCTTTACAGTAAGTGGTAAATTCTTAAGAGTCTATAAAACTAGATGGGTTTGTGATTTGTGGCCCATTGATTCTTGGTATAGAGTACTTCTAATTAAATGTTAAAAAGCTAAGAGGAATTTAGGATTAAATCTTTTTTTTAACTGACTATAGCTCTTTGTTTTGTTTTTGTTTTTTTAACTTCAGTAGGCTTTAACACTTCCTTCCTCTACTAACTATTCTGATAATGCTACAAAATACAGTGTCTTCACAGATACACTGTAGCATACTATAGTTAAATGCTAAAGCTATGTATGCCTGATGATTGTTACCCTTTTACTTATTTATTAAAATATTGTTGTTTAGGGAATAATAATAGTTAACATTTATTGAGCACTTATTATGCCAGGTATTATAATGTGTTTTATATACACTATTATATTTAATTTCCCCAAAACCCTTTTAGTTAAAATACCCCTTTACAGCTGGGAATCAGAGACTTGGAGATATTAAATAAATTTGCTCACGGTCACATAGCTAATGAAAGGTGGAGTTAGGATTTGAACCTTGGTTTATGCTCTTAACATCTATGGTATACTGCCATTCTTAATCATAAACTATACATTGATGGATAAAATTGGAGTCTTTTAGTGTTAATACAGAGAGTGAAGTATAATCATTAAAATTATTGAGATTTTTTTTTTAGATCTCTTACTATATCTGCCATTTGATTTGTTTTTATTGTAATTAGTAATTTTACCAAAGTCTAGAAATGGTAAGGACTTAATTTCTGCTGTGTTATTGACCTAGTTAACAGCAAGCATGATTCTGCTCATATATTTTATATTTTGAGCATATCTGTTGAATGTAAATTAATTTTTCTTTTGCTGTTTTTGAAGATGCTTAAGTTCTTTGAATTATCAGCTAATTTATATGTATATGCATCAAAATATCATTAGAAGAAGAGGAGTTATATAAATTTTTTAAAAATCACCAGGTGATTGTGATACTCTTATTTATATATAGATTTCTATTTGTGTATGAGGTAGTCTTACCTTCTGTCAGATGACTTTGAATAATCAGGCATCAACTAACAATGTCAGTGCTCTAAATTGGGTTATGTAACCACTGGCTTGCTGTGCCTTATCTATCAAATTCACTAAGAAAAAATAAGATTTATTTACTAGTACAAGATAAATCAAGTTTTGTATATTATTCTGTCTTATAAAGAAAGCAGTTACATGCATAATGAAATTAGTCTTTTATAGGAAGTGGCATAAATTCAAGTTGATTAAGTTATAGATGTCAACTTATCTTGAGATTCTACAGAATATGTTAATAATATGTGTTCTTAGGATTTCCACTGGACAAGGCAGTTGCCTATGCAAAACTCAGGAATCCATTTGTAATCAATGACTTGAATATGCAGTATCTCATACAAGATAGGTGAGTGGTTAAGTTGGCTAAATTAAGGAAGAAAAATTAACATTTATTTAGTCTACTTAAGCTGACATGGTATCGGGTGTTTTATACATATATAAATTTGTGGTATCCTTGAAATAATACTTAGAAATAGGTATTTATACCCAGTTTTACAGATGACGAAACTTGAGAATCAGGCAGATCATTTAGTTTGCCAAAAGTCACAAGTAGTTTCTCAGGTAGTGGGACAAGGACTTAAACCAGGTCTGTTTAATTTCCAGACCCTACTAAACCATTGAAAATTATGAACAGTTTTTCTATCATGTGACTGATGATGAAGCTATGGCTTTACCCATTATAACTAGGTTTTTAATGGTAAAGTGGAACCATTTTGAGAAATATTTTACTGTATATCTTAGCAATTCATTTAACAGGTCAAAAGCGTAGATATTTAAAAGAAATTGTAAAGTACAAATGCATTTATATATTTCATTTAATTGGTGTTTCACTCTACTGGCTACCCTTATAATTTCACCGGTATTCTATTCTGTCTTAGAAAATGCTGTATGAAGTGTAAGGCCCTATAGTTTTTTGTGTTTCTATTTTTGTTTTTCCTTTACCAGATAGTAATGTTATTAATATCTCAATTTTTATAACATTTTTCCTAGGTTTACATGTTTATATATTATAAATATATATATGTATATATATAAATGCATATTCATTTTAAGAAATTTAGAAAATAAAATCATGAAGAAGGGCATTTAACCCTGCCACTACGTTTACCATATTTTTTTAATATAGAAAGCAATACATATATGCACTTACATTTTACAAAATTAGGATCACATTTCTATTAAAAGACTATAAACATTTTCCCACATTGTTAAATATTCTTTGAGTACTGTATAAGGTTTTTAATACTTAGGTAATATTCTGTCATTGTGATATAGTAATTTTAACCATTTCTTTTTATACATTTACATTCCCAATTTTAAAAATTAGTATTTTAATATGCCATAAAAAGTATTGTGCATACACTTTTGTTCTAATATTGCTGAATATTTACTTAGAATACAGTTTTTCAGTTTTAAATGACATTTGTTTACTTAAAAAAAGACATTATATGCATGACTTTTTTAGTGATAGAACAGTAATAATGTACTTTATGAACAGTACAGTAATATGCTCATTGTGAAACAGAACAATAAAACAATAAGGATATTTTCTGTTTTCTTCAGGAGAGAAGTATATAGTATTCTTCAAGCTGAAGGTATTTTACTTCCTCGTTATGCAATTTTGAATCGTGACCCAAATAATCCCAAAGGTAAGAGTAAGAGATTTTAAACAAGCTATCTTTTGTCACTTAACATACCTTTGAGCCACTGTCTTCTAATAATTAAATGGAAAGAATTTAAATCATGGTATTCTACTCAATTTTTAAAAAATGATCCAAATAGGCAATTAAATTTCAATTAAAATGTGACACTATGAACTACAAGGCTAACTAATAATCAGGAGTTGTATATCCTACATTTCTTTGGTCTACATTTGACATATCAGAATCATAAAGAATTTTTAAATTACATGCTTAATAAATTTGTATTGATTGGGGTAAATGAGTGATTCATCTATGACTATTGAATTAAGTATTAGAAACTTCATGTTAGTATGCCACAACTAAACTTCTGATGAGTAGGAATTTTGAAATACGACTATTTATTAATATATTTTTAACATCTTTATTGGGGTATAATTGCTTTACAATGGTGTGTTAGTTTCTGCTTTATAACAAAGTGAATGAGTTATACATATACATATGTTCCCATATCTCTTCCCTCTTGCATCTCCCTCCCTCCCCCCCTCCCTATCCCGAATTGGTTCAGTATGTGCCACATCTTGTATGGAGGTTCCTTAAAAAACTACAAATAGAACTACCATATGACCCAGCAATCCCACTACTGGGCATATACCCTGAGAAAACCAAAATTCAAAAAGAGTCATGTACCAAAATGTTCATTGCAGCTCTATTTACAATAGCCTGGAGATGGAAACAACCTAAGTGCCCATCTTCAGATGAATGGATAAAGAAGATGTGGCACGTATATACAATGGAATATTACTCAGCCATAAAAAGAAATACTACTATTTATTAATATTTTAAAGTACCCTTTGCTTCATTTTCCTGGTTATCTAAAACATAGCATGTAAGTTACACTTAGTCTAAAAAGGCAAGATAAATGTTTATATGTTTTAATATTTAATATTCTGATAACTATTTTGGGGAATTTTGATGACTTTATTGTACATAAGAGGAACTTTTATTAAAAACCAGATATAGTACCATCTGTAACAGGGAACTTTTCTCATTTGTCTAGAGGTACAACTTGCTGATTGGATTGCTTGCTTACTCTGTATATTGGTTAATTTTCTAACTTAAATAATTTCATGTTTTATGGTATCTGTGGTATAATTATTCCATACATTTTTCAGAAGATGATAGCTTATGGAGTTATTTCTCAATCTTTCTTGTGTATCATTTCATATCCAACTTTGAATTCTGTGGGGTGGCAGGGTAAAATGGCAGGTCCATTAGATTTTTGAAGAATATAGTTCCTAATGTCACAGATCATATGTTTGCATAAATATTTTTAATTAAAATCAAATCACTACATTATCCAAGGTTACTTTTCTTTGTAATCTCTATTATAGTAAAAAAAAAAAAAGTCCTCAATAATAATATATCTAGGTAATATTCAATATATAATTTTTCTTGCTGTTGTGTTTGATTTATAGAATGTAATCTGATTGAAGGGGAAGATCATGTAGAAGTAAATGGGGAAGTTTTCCAAAAGCCATTTGTAGAAAAGCCAGTCAGTGCAGAAGACCACAATGTTTACATTTATTATCCAACATCTGCTGGTGGTGGAAGTCAAAGACTTTTTCGAAAGGTAAACCTTTGTTACCCTAGTGAATACTTTTCTAAATACATTGTTGTATAAATTTTACTAAAAGTAATGAAGTATTTAGTAAAACTAAGATTAACAATGTATCATTTAGAGCTAAATTAATAAAACTGATATCATATCAATACTTTGTTAGAAAAGCAAAGCTTACCTATAGAATACCAAGAAAGTTATTTGATCTTCTTTCTACCTTCCATTTATGTATCGGTCATGTGAGAAATTTGGTAAACATCAGCATTTTTTTAAGAAAAATGGCCTCCCAAATGGATAGTTCATAGAAAAAGTAATGCCAATGAACTCTTAAATACATGAAAGTATGCTCAAAATTTTACACCTATAATAAAATAAATATAAATCAAGTCTAAAAGATAATGACATTGAATTACTTTTTGAATTAGCAAGATCAAAAAGATTGAGGTAGTTGGAAAACAAGTACAAGTCCAAACGTTGTTAACAACATTTCTACTTAGCAATATAACAGCAATATATCAGGATTAAAAGTGCACATTCACTCATAAACAGTCATGGAAATGCAAAGTAAGAACACAATGAGGTACTTGTTTTATATTCATTAGAGTGGCAAATATTAGGAAGTCTGATAATACCAAATATAGATAATTGTAGATCAGTAGAAACTCTTATACATTGCTGGAGAGACTGGAAATTATTAAAACAGTTTTTAAAAGATTTTGGCATTATTTTGTAAGTTGAATGTGAGCATATTCTATCACCTAGCGATTCCACTTCTAGTATATGCCTTAGAAACACTCCTGCACACATGTGCCATGGGGATATGTAAAAGAAAGTTCGAAGCAAGATTGCTCTACTAGTTAAAGCTTAGAAAACAACCTAGATATATATTGATAGGCAAATGAATGAATTATGGGCTATTTATACAGAGGAAGATTCTATAGTATTAAGAAAGTAGTTACATGCAGCAATATGGTTGAATCTTAGAAACACTGTTCTTAGTGTTCATTGTATTTTTATGCTATTCAAGTTACCATTAGAGCAGAAAATAATATAGTGTCAACTATGTAATGTGTTGTTAAATATTTGTAGATTAAAAAAAATTTTGGAAATATCAGTGATGGAAATAGATGGTAAAAAGGGTTATTTTATAAAAATGAGGAGAATAATTTAGTTTTTACATTGATAGGCTTCTTTTGTTTTCAGATTGGCAGTAGAAGTAGTGTTTATTCCCCAGAAAGCAATGTACGAAAAACAGGCTCATATATATATGAAGAGTTTATGCCCACAGATGGTACTGATGTTAAGGTAGGATTGATTAAAGTATATTTTTATTTTGTATTTTGAGTTTACCAGTGATCTCAGAAAAAGAAATTACCTTTTAGTTAGCTATATCTAACCTCTATTCTGAATCTCTTTCTTTTTAACTAGGGATTCTTAATCTGTTTTGTATTATGAATGCCATTGGCAGTCTGAAGCCTATGGACCCTTTATACAGGATAATGTTCTTAAATGCTTAAAATAAACCACACAGGATTACCAAGGAGACAGATTTTATTGAATATTTAAAAACCAACCCAAAATATAGTGGGTAAGGGTCTAATAGTCACCACGATGTTTCCAGGCATTAATCAGTGTAAATGATATTTTGAGAACTTTGACAACTATAATGTGATAAAAAAAAATAGGTGTGATTTCTGTTGGTGACAAATAAGGTCTTAACTGCTTTACCTTCAGCCAGTCTGTGTCTAGAGAGTTCTTTCTTAGGTGTAAACCTGATCATGAACTTCTTTTTAAAAATTCTCTTGTGGATCCTCATTGACCACAGGGTAATAATCAGATTTATAAGGCTGGCATAGATACTTCACAGTCTGCCCTCTGTCCTACAAACCTTATTTCTTACATTATAAACCGTATCAAATACGTACTGTTACCTGAATACATCATGCTGTTTTGTTTCTCTGCCCTTTGTGTTTATTACCTTTGCTTAGAGTGCGTTTCCCTCTCTTGTCTGCTTTTGAATTCATGCTGTCCCTCATCCCCCACCCCCTTTTAAATCTTTATTTTGGCAGTTACTTCCTTCTGTAATTTTTAAATTTATTTGTACCTCTACTTTGTTAAACTAAAACAATTTGAGAAGGGTCACATCATATGCATTCTAGTATTCCCTCATAATGTTCAGTATAATTATTTTTTATAGAGAACAGGACCTCACTTTACCAGTTTTTGCTGTATAATTAATTATTTATAACCTCTTCCAGTGTATTAAAAATTTTCACATGTAAAATAGAAAGATGTGTGAAAAAATAGTCTGGACACTGAGGTATTTTTTATTTATTATTTGAATTTGTTGTCTGCTGTTTATATATATATATATATATATATATATATATATGTAAAATATGTGTTTTAATATTTCTGAAAGGTTTATACAGTAGGTCCAGATTATGCCCATGCTGAAGCTCGAAAATCTCCTGCACTTGATGGCAAGGTGGAACGAGATAGTGAAGGAAAAGAAGTAAGATACCCTGTTATTCTCAATGCACGAGAGAAATTAATTGCTTGGAGAGTCTGCCTTGCATTTAAGGTAAGATGTTATGCAGGCCATATAGACTCTTATAAAAATTCTAATTTTTTTTTTTTTTTGAGTAAATGAGATGTTATTTGGGCTTATAACAGGAGAGATAAGCAGAGAAAATAAAGTGGTATATCTGAATGGTTTATGTACTTTTCAAGGGATTCTTGTAGTGCCATTAATATTAAAAATATATAATAAATGAAGACCTTTGTTTCTCTTTATTCTTTCTGTACTATATAGAAGGAAACTATGTCAATTTATTCAGAAACTACAATTACAGAGGAAAACTTAACTGAAACAGTAGAATTACAGGAGTATTATTTAACATACCCCTATAACCAAAACTGATTACAAGTATCTATTCAGAGTTGATAAATGATTTTTTTAAATAAAAAATGTCATCAGTCTTCTAGCCTTTGCAGTTGATGCTTTAGCCTATTATGTATATAGTAAAATATGTTCATGAAAGCTATACTAATACGCTTCTTAAAACTTTTTACTTATGATATTTGACTAGTTCTCTCAATCTGTATTATTAGGCTTTGCCTGTACTGTACAGTAAAGATTTAGATAGAGTAGTTCAACTTGCATCTAATAAAGGATAAACGTTACCTTGTTGAAGCCTTGCCTTGGATATGTAACTTAAAGACTAGTGTATATTACTGGTTATTAAATAATAAATAAGTTCTTTGTGTTTTAATAATTTGAAGTCTCTCATGGAAGGAATCTTAGCCTGAAATATGTTTTAATAGCTTTATGTGAATTGTTTTAATTTTGTAATACCAGGATTCCAAAAGCCTTGACTTAAAATAACATTATACTAATATGTGAGATGTGAATATAAAAGGTAGAAGATCAGAAAATTCCTGGAGCCCGAGCAGGAAATTCATACCCTTCAACTGTTTTCTCCCAAATAAAGTAAATTTATTTCAGGTGCTCACAAGTATGTGGTTATCAGGGTTCAAAAGATTCATAGGGATAATGGGACATTTCCTCTGGGATATGTCTTCAAAACTTTCTCCTGTTTAGTTTTTTGGGGGGTTTTTTTGGATTAAAATGATATAATTTCTACTAGCACAGAATTTATTGAAGCCTTTAAAAATTTATACTTTTGTTTTTTAATAAAATGTTAATTGAAGAACTTCTTGATTTCTTGGCCTCTCTAGTTCCGTAAGCTTTATTGTTCTACATCTACTTCATAGGAAGAACTTAAATAATCATATGACATGCATATTTTCAGAGTATTCAAGTTACAGATAAGTAGTTTCTTTGTTTTTACTTGCTATGAAGTAAACTGATAAGCAGTAATATACTTTTAGGCAGTTATAAAATTTGATGTTTTCTAATAAGACTGGAAAACTAAGTCATAATTCAAATGGAACTTTAAACTTTATTTTAAATAGCAAACAGTTTGTGGCTTTGATTTATTACGGGCCAATGGACAGTCCTATGTCTGTGATGTCAATGGCTTCAGTTTTGTGAAAAATTCCATGAAGTATTATGATGATTGTGCAAAAATACTTGGGTAAGATTTTCTTCTTTATACTTCTTCCTCTTTACTTTTGTTACAGCTAATGCATACTGGTTATTCAGAAACCAAATAATGGTAAACATCAAGTGATCAGGGTTTTGTAAACACTGCAGAGTAAAAATCAGTGTTCATAAAATAACATGCCCAAAGACCATGCCAAATCCTGAATTACACTTTGGGTTATGAAAGACAAATTAATATATGACCAGTATAGGTAAAGGCTTAAAGGTATTTAACTTCATAGATTTAGAAATGCTGTAACAGTGATTTTTAGTGATTATTACAGAGGTTATTCATCAAAATGGCTAATTTATTTGATTATTTTGTTTCTCAAGTTTTTGATATGTAATTATAGTACTTAATGGTACAAAATTAACCAGAATAAGTAACCAGAATAAAATAGAAATATCTGGAATTTAGAATTCTTTTGAATGATTCTGCTTTCTACACGCATGTTACTTTAAAATAATCTCATGAGGGGCTTCCCTGGTGGCGCAGTGGTTGAGAGTCCGCCTGCCGATGCAGGGGACGCGGGTTCGTGCCCCGGTCTGGGAGGATCCCACGTGCCGCGGAGCGGCTGGGCCCGTGAGCCATGGCCGCTGAGCCTGCGTGTCCGGAGCCTGTTGCTCCGCGGCGGGAGAGGCCACAGCAGTGAGAGGCCCGCATACCAAAAAAAAAAAAAAAAAAAAAAAAAAAAAAAAAATCTCATGAGATTATGAAGTGAATATAAAAGAAATTATTGCACATAGAAATGCCATTTTTATATTCTTTGACTTATTTTCTTATATCCTGATTTAGACGACTTGAAAGACAAGAGCTATTTTTAAACCATTTCAAAGTATATTTGACAAAGCCGTAAAAAACTTACACTTTAAAATGTATTTTAATAATTGGGGTCAGCTGTTACAGTATATTTCAAAGGTTTGTGAACTTACCCTTAAAGTGAAATTTGGGGGAGCTTACTAAATTTTAGCATGAATAAATGCTAAATTTAAACAAAACAAAAAATGTCTTATAATTACTTAAACATGTTTTCATTATTAACCTTATTAGCAAAGAGTAATAAGAAATTTGTTAAACATGAGCAATAGTTTAAAATAGCTTTGCAGGTGATAAATAAAAACTGAAAGAAATGATCAATGGCCACACAGAAGAGATAATCTTGGATTTCAGAATCTTTGTAAGTAGATACGCAGTTACAGTGATTTACTTGAATCCTGTGTAATTTATATTTTTAAAATGAGAGTAGATAAGTAAAGCCAAATTCATGACATCCTGTTAGTGTGTTCTATTACAACAGTTTAGCACTGCTGATCTAATTTTTCTTGATCAGGATTGATTTTTTAGGTTACTTTTTATGTGCTGTATTCACATAATCACTAGATAGTTTGACTTTAATTCCTGTAATACTCAGTTATTTGTCATTAAATACCCAGGTTTGTCTTGAAATGAACTAGTTTAATTTTTCTTTTCTTTTTGTCTTGAAGGAATATTGTAATGCGAGAGCTTGCTCCACAGTTTCATATCCCCTGGTCGATACCCTTAGAAGCTGAAGATATCCCAATTGTACCAACTACATCTGGAACTATGTAAGTTTAAATATTTTCATTTAGAAACTCCTTGGGTTTTCCCCATTGGTTAGTGCTATTGCAGTGAAGATTACATTTCTGAATAATTATTAGACACTCTACTGTGTATGTTTTCATATGATTGACCTTGCAGATGGAGAAATAGATTATATGCTTTTACATGGGGCTGTTTAGACTAAAGATCTTTTCTGTTGTTCCAAATAAAATCCTGAAAAATACTTATATAATTATAGAACTATTGAATTAAGCCATAAGAATAAAGGAGGTGCCAACAGATGTGTTCCCTAAAGGTTCATGGTCAGTGGTCATACAACTTTAGTGCTCTCAGCATGTAAAGGAAAAATATACAGTTATATCTTGAAGTAAATTAATTAGACCAACATTGCCAAAGTATTTCATAAATTCTAGTGAAAGTAACTGCTTGAAATTTACCTGTCACTCAGGTGAGTTGACCAAATGCTTCATATTCACAGCTTAGAGCTTTATGTTAGCATATTAAATATTCTTAGGAGTCCTCATTGGGGCAGAGAGGAGGGCAAAAATACTTAATTTTGTTTTTAAACCAATATTTCCAAACTTATTTAACACAAAACATATTTTTGGGTAACTTATTCTATAGAGTTGTGTTCTATATCTCACAGTTTGGCGAATGTTAAATTGTACCCTACCATTCTTGCTAAGACAGTTTTATCTTCCAGTAACTTGAGTTTGAAATATTTTTCTTCTTATGTGGGCAAAATAAATATAACAGCTTTATTTTGTTTGATTTAATGAAATCTCAGTCTATAGTGATCTATGCTACAGGGCAGATAATTAAAGAAGTTAGGGGATTACAGTCCATTTACTTTATTTTTTAAAAATATTTATTTCATTTATTTATTTTAACATCTTTATTGGAGTATAATTGCTTTACAATGGTGTGTTAGTTTCTGCTTTATAACAAAGTGAATCAGCTATACATATACATATATCCCCCTATCTCTTCCCTCTTGCGTCTCCCTCCCTATCCCACCCCTCTAGGTGGCCACAAAGCACTAAACTGATCTCCCTGTGCTATGCGGCTGCTTCCCACTAGCTATCGATTTTACATTTGGTAGTGTATATATGTCGATGCCACTCTCTCACTTTGTCCCAGCTTACCCTTCCCCATCCCCGTGTCCTCAAGTCCGTTCTCTAGTAGGTCTGCATTTTTATTCCCATCCTGCCCCTAGGTTCTTCATAACCATTGTTTTTTCTTAGATTTCATGTATATGTGTTAGCATATGGTATTTGTTTTTCTGTGTCTGACTTACTTCACTCTGTATGACAGACTCTAGGTCCATCCACCTCACTACATATAACTCAATTTCGTTTCCTTTTATGCCTGAGTAATATTCCATTGTATATATGTGCCACATCTTCTTTATCCATTCATCTGTCCATGGACACATAGGTTGCTTCCATGTCCTGGCTATTGTAAATAGAGCTGCAATGAACATTGTGGTACATGACCCTTTTTGAATTATGGTTTTCTCAGGGTATATGCCCAGTAGTGGGATTCCTGGGTTGTATGGTAGTTCTATTTTTTATTTTTTAAGGAACGTCCATACTGTTCTCTTATAGTGGGTGTATCAATTTACATTCCAACCAACAGTGCAAGAGAGTTCCCTTTTCTCCATACTGTCTGCAGCATTTATTGTTTGTAGACTTTTTGATGGTGGCCATTCTGACCCGTGTGAGGTGATACCTCATTGTAGTTTTTTTTTTTTTTTTTTTGGGGGTCCGCGGCCCCCTCCCTGTTGTAGCCTCTCCCGTTGTGGAGCGCAGGCTCAGCAGCCATGGCTCACGGGCCTAGCCGCTCCGCGGCATGTGGGATCTTCCCGGACCAGGGCACAAACCCATGTCCCCTGAATCCGCAGGCTGACTCAACCACTGCGCCACCAGGGAAGCCCTCTCATTGTAGTTTTGATTTGCATTTCTTTAATGATTACTGATGTTGAGCATCCATTCATGTTTGTTGGCAATCTGTACATCTTTGGAGAAATGTCTATTTAGGTCTTCTGCCCATTTTTGGATTAGGTGGTTTGTTTTTTTGGTATTGAGCTGCATGAGCTGCTTATAAATTTTGGAGATTAATCCTTTGTCAGTTGCTCCCTTTGCAAATATTTTCTCCCATTCTGAGGGTTGTCTTTTCATCTTGTTTATGGTTTCCTTTGCTGTGCAAAAGCTTTTCCGTTTCATTAGGTCTCATTTGTTTATTTTTGTTTTTATTTCCATTTCTGTAGAAGGTGGGTCCATAAGGATCTTGCTGTGATTTATGTCATAGAGTGTTCTGCCTATGTTTTCCTCTAAGAGTTTCATAGTGTCTGGCTTTACATTTAGGTCGTTAATCCATTTTGAGTTTATTTTTGTGTGTGGTGTTAGGGAGTGTTCTAATTTCATTCTTTTACATGTAGCTGTCGAGTTTTCCCATCACCACTTATTGAAGAGGTTGTCTTTTCTCCCTTGTATATTCTTGCCTCCTTTATCAAAAATAAGGTGACCATATGTGCATGGGTTTATCTCTGGGCTTTCTGTCCTGTTCCATTGATCTATATTTCTGTTTTAGTGTAAGTAACGTACTGTGTTGATTACTGTAGCTTTGTAGTATAGTCTGAAGTCAGGGGGTCTGGTTCCGCCAGCTCCATTTTTCTTTCTCAAGGTTGCCTTGGCTATTTGGGGTCTTTTGTGTTTCCATACAAATTGTGAAATTTTTTGTTTTAGTTCTGTAAAAAAATGCCATTGGTAATTTGATAGGGATTGCATTGAATCTGTAGCTTGCTTTGGGTAGTATAGTCATTTTCACAATATTGATTCTTCCAATCCAGGAACATGGTATATCTCTCCATCTGTTTGTATCTTCTTTAATTTCTTTCATCAGTGTCTTATAATTTTCTGCATACAGGTGTTTTGTCGCCTTAGGTAGGTTTATTCCTAGGTATTTTATTCTTTTTGTTACAATGGTAAATGGGAGTGTTTCCTTAATTTCTCTTTCAGATTTTTCATCATTAGTGTATAGGAATGCAAGAGATTTCTGTGCATTAATTTTGTGTCCTCCTATTCTACCAAATTCATTGATTAGCTCTAGTGGTTTTCTGGTAGCATCTTTAGGATTCTCTATGTATAGTATGTCATCTGCAAACAGTGACAGCTTTACTTCTTCTTTTTTGATTTGGATTCCTTTTCCTTCTTTTTCTTCTCTGATTGCTGTGGCTAAAACTTCCAGAACAATGTTGAATAATAGTGGTGAGAGTGGGCAACCTTGGGTTGTTCCTGATCGTAGTGGAAATGGTTTCAGTTTTTCACCATTGAGGATGATGTTGGCTGCAGGTTAGTCATATATAACCTTTATTATGTTGAGGTAAGTTCCCTCCATGCCTACTTTCTGGAGGGTTTTTTTAATCATAAATGGGTGTTGAATTTTGTCAAAAGCTTTTTCTGCATCTATTGAGATGATCATATGGTTTTTATTCTTCTTTTTGTTAATATGGTGTATCACATTGATTGATTTGCATATATTGAAGATTCCTTGCATTCCTGGGATAAACCCCACTTGATCATAGTGTATGATCCTTTTAATGCGCTGTTGGATTCTGTTTGCTAGTATTTTGTTGCGGATTTCTGCATGTATATTCATCAGTGTTATTGGCCTGTAGTTTTCTTTCTTTGTGACATCTTTGGTTTTGGTATCAGGGTGATGGTGGCCTCGTAGAATGAGTTTGGGAGTGTACCTCCCTCTGCTATATTTTGGAAGAGTTTGAGAAGGATAGGTGTTAGCTCTCCTGTAAATGTTTGATAAAATTTGCCTGTGAAGCCATCTGGTGCTGGGCTTTTGTTTGTTGGAAGATTTTTAATCACAGTCTCAATTTCAGTGCTTGTGATTGGTCTGTTTATATATTCTGTTTCTTTCCGGTTCAGTCTCAGAAGGCTGTGCTTTTCTAAGAATTTATCTGTTTCTTTGTGGTTGTCATTTTATTGGCATCAAGCTGCTTGTAGTAATCTCTCATGATCCTTTGTATTTCTGCAGTGTCAGTTGTTACTTATCCTTTTTCATTTCTAATTCTGTTGATTTGAGTCTTCTCCCTTTTTTCTTGATGAGTCTGGCTAATGGTTTATCAATTTTGTTTATCTTCTCAAAGAACGAGCTTTTAGTTTTACTGATCTTCGCTATCATTTCCTTCATTTCTTTTTCATTTATTTCTGATCTGATCTTTATGATTTCTTTCCTTCTGCTAACTTCGGGGATTTTTGTCCTGCCTTCTCTAATTGCTTTAGATGTAACGTTTGGTTGTTTATTTGAGATGTTTCTTGTTTCTTGAGGTAGGATTGTATTGCTATAAACTTCCCTCTTAGAACTGATTTTGCTGCATTCCGTAGGTTTTGGGTTGTCTTGTTTTCATTGTCATTTGTTTCTAGGCATTTTTTGATTTTCTCTTTGATTTCTTCAGTGATCTCTTGGTTATTAAGTAGTGTATTGTTCAGCCTCCATGTGTATGTATTTTTATAGATTTTTTTCCTGTAATTGATATCTAGTCTCATAGCATTGTGGTTGGAAAAGATACTTGATACGATTTCAATTTTCTTAAATTTACCAAGGCTTGATTTGTGACCCAAGATATGATCTATCCTGGAGAATGTTCCGTGAGCACTTGAGAAGAAAGTTATTCTGTTGTTTTTGGATGGAATGTCCTATAAATATCAGTTAAGTCCATCTTGTTTAATGTATCATTTAAAGCTTGTGTTTCCTTATTTATTTTCATTTTGGATGATCTGTCCATTGGTGAAAGTGGGTTGTTAAAGTCCCCTGTTATGATTGTGTTACTGGCGATTTCCCCTTTTATGGCTGTTATCATTTGCCTGATGTATTGTGGTGCTCCTGTGTTGGATGCATAAATGTTTACAATTGTTATATCTTCTTTTTGGATTGATCCCTTGATCATTATTTGTGTCCTTCTTTGTATCTTGTAATAGTCTTTATTTTAAAGTCTGTTTTGTCTGATATGAGCATTGGTACTCCAGCTTTCTTTTGATTTCCATTTTCAGGTAATACCTTTTTCCATCCCCTCACTTTCAGTCTCTATGTGTCCCTAGGTCTGAAGTGGGTCTCTTATAGACAGCATATGTACGGGTCTTAGTTTTGTATCCATTCGCCCAGTCTTTGTCTTTTGGTTGGAGCATTTAATCCATTTACATTTAAGGTAATTATCGATATGCGTGTTCCTATGACCATTTTCTTAATTGTTTGGGGTTTGTTATTGTAGGTCTTTTCCTTCTCTTGTGTTTCCTGCCTAGAGAAGTTCCTTTAGCATTTGTTGTAGAGCTGGTTTCATGGTGCTGAATTCTCTTAGCTTTTGCTTGTCTGTAAAGGTTTTACTTTCTCCATCAAATCTGAATGAGATCCTTGCTGGGTAGAGTATTGGTTCTAGGTTTTCTCCTTTCACCACTTTAAATATGTCCTGCCACCTCCTTCTGGCTTGCAGTTTCTGCTGAAAGATCAGCTGTAACCTTATTGGGATTCCCTTGTATGTTATTTGTTGTTTTTCCCTTGCTGCTTTTAATATTTTTTCTTCGTATTTAATTTTTGATAGTTTGATTAATATGTGTCTTGGTGTGGATTTATCCTGTATGGGTCTCTGCACTTCCTGGACTTGATTAACTATTTCCTTTCCCATATTGGGGAAGTTTTCAACTATAACCTCTTCACATATTTTCTCAGTCCCTTTCTTTTTCTTTTCTTCTTCTGGGACCCCTATAATTCGAATGTTGATGCATTTAATGTTGTCCCAGAGGTCTCTGAGACTCTCCTCAATTCTTTTCATTCTTTTTTCTTTATTCTGCTCTGCAGTAGTTATTTCCACTATTTTATCTTCCAGGTCGCTTACCCGTTTTTCTGCCGCAGTTATTCTGCTATTGATTCCTTCTAGAGACTTTTAAATTTCATTTATTGCGTTTTTCATCATTGTTTGTTTGCTTTTTAGGTCTTCTGGGTCCTTGTTAAACATTTCTTATATTTTCTCTATTCAGTATCCAAGATTTTGGACCATCTTTACTATGCTTACTCTGAATTCTTTTTCAGGTAGACTGCCTATTTACTCTTCATTTGTTTGTTCTGGTGGGTTTTTACCTTGCTCCTTCATCTGCTGTGTGTTTCTCTGTTTTCTCATTTTGCTTCATTTACTGTGTTTGGGGTCTCCTTTTTGCAGGCTGCACATTCGTAGTTCCTGTTTTTTTTTAGTGTGTGCCCCCAGTGGCTAAGTTTTGTTCAGTGGGTTGTGTAGGCTTCCTGGTGGAGGGGACTAGTGCCTGTGTTCTGGTGGATGAGGCTGGATCTTGTCTTTCTGGTGGGCAGGTCCGCATCCAGTGGTGTGTTTTTGGGTGTCTATGACCTATTATGAGTTTAGGCAGCCTTTCTGCTAGTGGGTGGGGTTGTGTTCCTGTTTTGCTAGTTGTTTGGCATAAGGTGTCCGGCACTGTAGTTTGCTGGTCATTGAGTGGAATTGGGTCTTGGCGTTGAGATGGAGATCTCTGGGAGATTTTTGCCGTTTGACATTATGTTTAGCTGGGAGGTTTCTGGTGGACCAATGTCCTGAACTCCGCTCTCCCACCTCAGAGGCACTGGCCTGACACGTGGCTGGAGCACCAAGATTCTCTCATCCACACAGCTCAGAATAAAAGGGAGACAAAAATAAATAAATAAATAAAATAAAGTTGTTAAAATAAAAAAATAATTATTAAAAATAAAAAAAATTTTAAGTAATAAAAATAAGAAAGAAGAGAGCAAGGAAACCAAAAAACAAATCCACCAATGATAAGAAGTGCTAAACACTATACTAAAAAAAAATGGGCAGACAGAATCCTAGGACAAATGGTAAAAACAAAGGTATACAGACAGAATTACACACAGAAGCATACACATACTCACAAAAGAGAAAAAGGAAGTATATATATATATATATATATATATATATATATATCATTGCTCCCAAAGTCCACTGCCTCAATTTGGGATGATTTGTTGTCTGTTCAGGTATTAAGAGATGCAGCGTACATCAAGTTGATTGTGGAGATTTAATCTGCTGCTCCTGAGACTGCTGGGAGAGATTTCCCTTTCTCTTCTTTGTTCGCTCAGCTCCTGGGGTTCAGCTTTGCATTTGGCCCCTCCTCTGCATCACCTGAGGGCGTCCTTTCTTTGCTCAGAAAGGACGGGGTTAAAGGAGCAACTGATTAGGGGCTGTGGCTCACTCAGACTGGGGGGAGTGAAGCCTACGGAATGCAGGGTGAGCCTGTGGCTGCAGAGGCCAGCGTGATATTGCAGCGGCCTGAGAAATGCCTTGTGTTCTCCCAGGGAAGTTGTCCCTGGATCACGGGGCCCTGGCAGTGGCGGGCTGCACAGGCTCCGGGTGGGGAGGTGTGGATATTGACCTGTACTTGCACCCAGACTTTTTGGTGGCTGCAGCAGCAGCCTTAGCATTTGATGCCCGTCTCTGATGTCCGCGCTGATAGCTGTGGCTCACGTTCATCTCTAGAGCTCATTTAGGCAGTGCTCTGAATCCCCTCCTCACACACCGTGAAACAAAGAGGCAAGAAAAAGTTTGCCTCTTAGGGAGGTCCAGACTTTTTCCCTGACTCCCTCCCAGCTAGCTGTGGCACAGTAGCCCCCTTCAGGCAGTGTTCATGCAGCCAACCCCAGTCCTCTCCCTGGGGTCTGACCTCCCGAAGCCCGAGCCTCAGCTCCCAGTCCCGCCCGCCCCAGCTGGTGAGCATACAAGCCTCTCGGGCTGGTGAGTGCAGGTCAGCACCGATCCTCTGTGCGGGAATCTCTCTGCTTTGCCCTGTGCACCCCTGTTGCTGTGCTCTCCTCTGTGGCTCCAAAGCTTCACCCCTCCGCCACCCGCAGTCTCCACCAGCGAAGGGGCTTCCTAGTGTGTGGAAACCTTTTCTCCTTCACAGCTCCCTCCCACTGGTGCAGGTCCCGTCCCTATTCTTTTGTCTCTGTTTTTTCTTGTTTTCTTTTGCCCTACCCAGGTACGTGGGGAGTTTCTTGCCTTTTGGGAAGTCTGAGGTCTTCTGCCAGCGTTCAGTAGGTGTTCTGTAGGAGTTGTTCCACATGTAGATGTATTTCTGATGTATTTGTAGGGAGGAAAGTGATCTCCACGTCTTAACTCTTTCACCATCTTTAAGGTCTCCCCTCCATTTACTTTTATCCCAGAGTTAGCATAGTCATCTCAAGAGAAGAAGCAGGTATTGTGTAGCTTAATATTACTCCCCCTCCAGCCTCTTAAATTCTTTTTAAGATTTGATTTGATAAGACTTTGTTATAAGCACTATGCTTCATGGAGAGTATCTTAGAGTGGTGAAAGATGGTTCTATAATATAATTAGATATATTAATCTGAATTATATAACACAAATCTTTGTCAGAAAATTGAACGTTATTTTTTTAATTTTAGGATGGAACTTAGATGTGTCATAGCTGTCATACGTCATGGGGACCGAACACCAAAGCAAAAAATGAAAATGGAAGTGAGGCATCAAAAGTATGTTTAAAGGGGAATAATTTAACTCTTAGGAGATAATTTAAGATTTCTGATAGGTGCTTAGTTATTTTGATTAATACTTCATATAGAAAAACTGTTTACCACTACTTCTTGGCCATTAATATTTAAACCACTGGAAAACAATAAAATCCAACAAAATTCATTTAAAATTGTATATTTTAGCATCTGAAAATTACTGTGGCAATATCCATATATGGTCATCATCCTGACCTAGCTTTTATTTATTGTTGTAAATATTCAGTCTTGTGTTATTATTCTCTTACATTGCTTTCTGAGAATCATTAACTTCTTAACCTTCTAGATGAAAATTAGTAGAATGAAAGTTTGTTACTTCTATTCAGTGAATCTAGTGATTATTAGTTTGATATGGTTTAGGAAAATACTAAGTTTTATCAATCAAAGTAGAGGAGCAACATTGTATAGTGAAAGAGGGCACGCAGTGTTTGAAGTCCATAGACCCCAAGTCCCATATCTATTATTAATTATTGTTTTAGCCCCATATCTATCATTTATTGTAATTATTTGTTTTAGTTTATAGAGGTAATATTGTTGCAAAGGCCTAACAGTGCTCTGTCTTTCTTATAAGATTCTTTGATCTTTTTGAAAAGTGTGATGGATATAAATCTGGGAAATTAAAGCTCAAAAAACCAAAACAGTTACAGGCAAGTGCATCTGTTTTCTTGTTGGGTTTTAAATTGCTAATCGCAAAGGTACCTAAAAATTCAATTCTTTATTTATTTTACAGGAAGTGCTGGATATTGCACGACAACTTCTTATAGAGTTGGGACAAAATAATGATTCTGAAATTGAAGAAAACAAGTCAAAACTTGAACAACTTAAGACTGTGTTAGAGATGTAAGTATCTTTTTGAAACCCATAATTTTGGTAACTACTTATAGTGCTTTTTTTTTAATATGTGTGACTTTTCATGTTAATTTCCTTCACAGTTTTATCTTCTTTCTCTTTATCACTGTAGCTGAGGAGAAATTAGTGGAAATCTAACAAGAATTTTATTTTCATCAGTGAGAAAAGAGATTGTTGTATTGAAGGTTCTGTTTTAGTTTTAATTTTGATGAGATCAAAAGAGAGCATCACATTTAGATCTTGTATGAAGTACTACTTAGGATGAAGGCCACATTGCTAAGTTAACCACAGATTCAGTGCTGTTTAAGTGAAAAATAATTTTGAGCTATGTTTTAATCAAGTGAAATTGGTACCACCAGTATTCCTCTTATAAGCTTTATTTCTTTGACCACTTAAAATCGTTTTTTTTTTATTTTTTAAAGACACATACATTTATGTTTTTGTATGTTTATATACTTTGGCATCTATTCAAAATTCTCCAACTTTTATAGAGAAACTTTATTGTATTTTTATTTTTAACGTGGTTAGAATAATTACCTAGGATACAGATTTTGTGCTAGGATATTTTGAAGAATTCAGCAAGGTAATTACAAATAGGAAGCATTAATATGTAAGATTCAGTTTTTGTCTAGGCGGATTTTAGTTTTTCTTTAGGAGGTTGCATTGCATGCTTATTGAATATTGTCTATTCTGTTTGCCATTTTATTTTTCAGGTATGGCCATTTTTCTGGAATAAATCGTAAGGTCCAATTAACCTATCTCCCTCATGGTTGTCCTAAGACATCTAGTGAAGAAGAAGGTATGTCACTATTAATGCCCATTGTGTTTTATTTATATGTAGGGACTTACTACTCGTTGTTGATTACCTTTGTAATCTTCTAATAGTTTAGGGGTTAGCATGCTGAACAGAGGAAAAATAACATGGAGTTGTGTTAACTCTGCCTTCTATCCTTTAAATAAAAGATGTTTTACTCATTATTTTGAAAACTGCCTAGGACTTCTCTTTTACTCTTCTAAAAGCTTATTTATTTATAACTAAATGTTACTAAATGTCCCTATCCCATACAGGGTATACAGGAAGAAAACTTAAGAAGTATGAAAAGAGTGTTTAAAAAAATACGTAATCACCATGTTTCTAAAATAGATATTTTTCTCCACCCAATAAATCAGAATAAGCATTTAAAATTAGTCTCCTAAGAGCAATGAGCACAAAAGTTCATTTACTTTTCAAAAGAAAAATGGGCAGGGGTTGGGAAGCCATTTTATGGAGAAGTGGAGATGCCCAATACAATAATGATAATAGTAATAACCAGCCTTGCCTATCACACTGGCAAAGTGTTTTCTTATTTTGTTCTTCTTCAAATGATAATAAAGAATGCTGATGAGAGTACAATGTGACAGGATTTCAGTTTACTGGTAGGATTGTAAATTGACATATGCTTTTTTTTTTTAACTTCATTTTATTTATTTTATTTTTGGCTGCATTGGGTCTTCCTTGCTGTGCACGGGCTTTCTCTAGATGTAGCGAGTGCGGGCTACTCTTCGTTGTGGTGCGCCAGCTTCTTATTGCAGTGGCTTCTTTTGTTGCAGAGCACGGGCTCTAGGTGTGCAGGCTTCAGTAATTGTGGCTAACGGGCTCAGTAGTTGTGGCTCACGGACTCTAGAGCTCAGGCTCTATAGTTGTGGCACACGAGCTTGGTTGCCCTGTGGCGTGTGGGATCTTCCCGGACCAGGGCTCCAACCCGTGTCCTCTGCATTGGCAGGCAGATTCTTAAGCACTGTGCCACCAGGGAAGCTTTGACATAATTCTTTGAAAAGTAAATTGGCAGTATATATCAACATTTCAGGGGACTTCCCTGGCAGTCCAGTGGTTAAGCCTCCACTCTTCCACTGCAGGGGACACGGTTTCAAGCCCTGATCGAGGAACTAAGATCCAGCATGTTACGCAGTGCAGCTGGGGGCAGGGGGAAACACTTCAGAAATTTTTCATATGCTTTGACCTTAATTCTACTTATAAGAATCTATCCCAAGGGGGTAAGCAGATATTGAGGGAAAGATTGTTCTATAGGGATATTCACAGTGGCATTATTTATAGTAGCAAAAATTGAAGTAATGATTATTTTAAATGGAAACAAATTTGATTATGTTGATCTTTATATATTCTAAAATTTGATATATTGCTCTTGTCACACCTTGTGATTAATAGCAACAGATTAATTTTCTATATTTTGATGTTTATATTAAAAAAATCCATAAACAACTATAATTAACAAGTCAATTAATTACCTTTCTATAAATGAATGTTGGCTTGCATGGTAAAGCACATACAGTTACTAACTAGCCCCAGGGGAAAGGGTGATTTTCTATCACTTTTAATGAATCATCAAATTCTTTAGTGCTTATAGCACTAATTTTTACATGACCTTTGTTTCTGTAATCCAACACAGATCTTAGGACGTGATAAAGAGCAAGTCAAAATTAAATATAGAAACTCAGACCTCCCCTATATCTGAGAAAATACTTTGGTCTGGAACATATAGATTCTACAACTCCAAACTTAAAAAGCTGTTCTTAGCTATATTTTATTGTATATCTCACCCATAAGTTTAAATTATAATAAATATTAAGCTCTGTCATCTCACATCTTCTTGAAAGTTATGCAGATCACTGATTACTAATCATAAAAATGTGTATATCTTCTTCACTTCAGATAACATTAACTTTTATGTGACAGCAGTGCAGGAGGCCCTTAACACAAAGCCAAGATCTGAATCCTGTCATCAAGGAGCTCTTAATCTAGTATATGTAGTACAACTAAATACATTGGGGAAATACCATTGCTCTCATACCACTGAGAGCAGGGAAGGGAGAAGTTTCCTTTTAGAGAACTGGGAAAGAGCCTTCTTTCTAGAGTGTGGGAGAGATTTTGAAATTTTAGTAAGATTTTAACAGGTGGAGCAAGGGGTATTCCTAGCAGAAGCAACAGCCTACAAGAAAGGTATGTTTAGGGAACAAAATAATTTACATAAGGGCCATATTCCACTGCAGAAGAGACACAAAGAAAAAATTAATCTTGAAATATGTCTGTTTAGAAGAAAAAACATTGACATTTGCTTTATTCATTCACATGTATCTTAGACAGCCGAAGAGAAGAGCCATCCTTACTTCTGGTTCTAAAATGGGGAGGAGAACTAACCCCTGCAGGCAGGGTCCAGGCTGAAGAACTTGGAAGAGCTTTTAGGTGTATGTATCCTGGAGGACAAGGTAAATCTTGGAGTTTCTTTAATTCAGTTAAATTCATACATCATATTTTCAAATTCTAATTTTGAGATGTTATTAGATATTTATAGAAATACAGTGAGGTAAAAATATAGCTTAAGTGATTTGAGGATTTATTTTCAGGAGATTATGCAGGATTTCCTGGTTGTGGTTTACTTAGATTACATAGTACCTACCGACATGACCTTAAAATATATGCCTCTGATGAAGGACGAGTCCAGATGACTGCAGCTGCTTTTGCAAAGGTATAAATAAATGTTTTTTAGAATTGTTAGAATTTTCATCTAATATAGCATTTTAAAAGATTTTTACTAAAGTATTATTTTAATATTCTAAATTTGAAACTTCTAACTAAAGCCCTGAAATGGCAATGACAAGTTGCATTATTAATAAAGTTTATTGTAAATAGTAAGCTTACACCTTGTGAAATTCAGCATGTAACAAGATAATTATTAAGATACCTTCTATTTTGCATGCTAATTCTTAATCTGTTTTGGTTTTATTTTATGTATTTAGGGGCTGTTAGCTCTAGAAGGAGAACTTACACCCATTCTTGTTCAGATGGTGAAAAGTGCAAACATGAATGGCCTTTTGGATAGTGATAGTGACTCTTTGAGCAGTTGTCAGCAACGTGTGAAAGCAAGACTTCATGAAATACTTCAGAAAGACAGAGATTTTACTGCTGAAGATTATGAAAAGGTGGGTCTTACCAAACTCTTACATTGTCAAATATTACATGCACATACACATAGAAAAGTGCATAAAATGTAAACTTAGAGCTTATCATATTATAAAGCAAAGAGTTGTATAATCAGTACAGAGATACAGAACGTTGGTACAGCTCTAGCCTCTGTGTGTCCCTTCCCAGTTCTGCACGCGCAGGCTCAGTGGCCATGGCTCATGGGCCCAGCCGCTCCACGGCATGCGGGATCTTCCCGGACCGGGGCGCGAACCCACGTCCCCTGCATCGGCAGGCGGACTCTCAACCACTGCGCCACCCGGGAAGCCCACTATCCTAACTTTTTATAGTCTTATACCCAGAGTGCTTATTTGGCTAAGTATGTATCTGTAGCTACCATAGTCTCAGTTCGGGGTATTTTTTAAGCTTCATGTAATAGAATGTTTTCTTTTATGTCTGGCTTCTGTTTCTCAATGTTATGTTTGTGAAATTCATCCATAGTTTTGAGAATTTTCAGAATTAATTTTCATTTCTATGTAGTATTGTTTTCAGAGGTTGGCAAACTTTTTCTGTAAAAGACCAGATAGTAAATATTTCAGGCTTTGTAGATCACATATAGTTGCTTGTTGCATATTCTTTTCTTTTTTAAACCACCTTTTAAAAATGTAAAAACCATTTATTAGCTCACAGGCTATCACAGGTCATGTTTGGCCTAGTTTGTTAATCCATATTCTATTTTATGAGTATATGCCAATTTATATATGCTTTCTAATATTGTTATAGTTTGGGGCTGTTATGCTAATACTGCCTTGAATATCCACATATGCCTCCTAGTGTATATGAGCATATGTTTCTCTTTGGTGTATTCTAGGAGTGGCAGTGTTGTGCCCCACAGTGTGCTAGTATTTCAATATTAGTAGATGTCAAACTGTTTTCCAAAGTCATTGAAGCAATTTATACTCCTGCCAGAAGTCCATGGAAATTGTTATTGCTCTACATAGTCTCTATTCTTGGTATTTTCAGACCATTCAATTTTGCCTATTCTGAAGGTGGATGTATAGTAGTACCTCACTGTGGTTTTAATATTCGTTGACCATTTAGGTATCTTCTTTCATAAGGCCTGCTCTTCAAGTCTTGTCCTTTTTTTCTACTAGTTGCCTGTGTTTTTCTTATTGAATAGTAGAATTTCTTTGTATATTTTGGATATGAGCTCTTTGTTATATGTTCTAAATACTACCATCTACCCTGAGCCTTAATGATTTCCTTTGATAAGCAGAAATTCTTATTTTCCATGTATTTCTTTTTTTATTTCCATGTATTTCAAGGTCAGTTTTTTCCTTTATGTTCAGTGCATTTTAATGCATTATTTATAATACCTTTTTCTTTTTTTTAATTTATCATAGGTTTAACAATTAAACCTATATTTTATTTTTATATATTTATTTTTTTACATCTTTATTGGAGTATAATTGCTTTACAATGGTGTGTTAGTTTCTGCTTTATAACAAAGTGAATGAGTTATACATATACATATGTTCCCTCTTGCATCTCTTCCCTCCCACCCTCCCTATCCCACCCCTCCAGGCGGTCACAAAGCGCTGAGCTGATCTCCCTGTGCTATGCGGCTGCTTCCCACTAGCTATCTACCTTACGTTTGGTAGTATATATATGTCCATGCCTCTCTCTCGCTTTGTCACAGCTTACCCTTCCCCCTCCCCATATCCTCAAGTCCATTCTCTAGTAGGTCTGTGTCTTTATTCCTGTCTTACCCGTAGGTTCTTCATGACATTTTTATTTTTCTTAAATTCCATATATATGTGTTAGCATACGGTATAATACCTTTTTCTAATGTGGGGTCATAAGATATTCCCATATACGATCTTCTATAAACTTTACTGTTTTTCCCTGCACATTTATCTACAATCTAGCTAAAATTGACTTTTGTGTGTGCTATTAGATAAGGATGTCAAAATTGATGTTTTCCCCCCAACCATATGTACATCCAGGTGTCTCAACACCACATACTGAAAACACCATCCTTTCCCCACTACTCTGTAGTGCCAGCTTTATCATATGTGTGTTCTCTGTTTCTAGAATGTATTCTTTTGTTGACTCTTGGGCCATTGAATAAGATCTCCCAAATCCTACATGGGTCCTTCTTCAAGTTCTTCTTGGCTTTTCTTGTATTTCCATATAAGTTTTAAAATAACCTGGCCCAAAATCCTGTTGGAATATTGATTTAGATTGCATTAGATCTATAGTTTGTGAAAACTTACATCTTTAAAAAAAAATGTTGTGTACTTGTAAACGCTCCCTCTAAAAAGGTTACTGTCTGTTGCTACTATGTACAAATAGTTTTTTTAATATTGACTTTATATGTGTCAACTTTGTTGAACTTATTTATTAACTTAGTAATTTATCTGTAGATTCAAAGAAATCTTTTCAAAGCATATCCCCAGGTTTTTGTCTTCCTTTCCAGTTTTTATGTTTTTAATTCTTTTTATTGCTTTACTTTAATAACTAGTACCATCAAAGTGATAGTAAATAGAAGTGACTTTTCTGTTTTTGTTCATATTCTCAAAGGGAAATCTTTTTAACGCTGTCCATTAAGTATGGTCTCTAGATTTTTTTAAAGCTACTCTTTTTCAAAATAAGGAAAATCCATTCTACTCCTGTTTTCTTAAGAGGTTTTATCATGACAAGTTTTTAAATTTTATGTTTTCTTATCTGTTAAACACCATATGATTTGGGGGGGAGGCTACCGTGGTTCCTAGAATAAGCTCATTAAAAAAAAAATATAGATATAGATATAGATATAGATATAGATATCACTGGTTTGGGTTTACTAATATTTTTGGTTAGGAGTTTTACATCTGTGTTCATGAGTCATACTGACCTTTACTTTTTTATTCTTGTTGTCTTTGTCTGCTTTCAATATCAAGATTATGCTGTTCTCATAAAATTAGAGAGTTCTGTTTGGGGGGAATAATTCATGTATATATGTTTCAGTAAATGTTTGGTAAAATTTACTGGTAAATCCCATGGGCATTTTCTTTATGCGAAAACTTGTAATTGTGGTTTCCAGAGTAATTTAGTAGTTTCCATTCATTATGTCTTGTGTCTGTATTAAGTTACATTCTTCTAGAAATTTGTGTATACAGTCCTCTTAAGTTGTTTATAATGTCTGCAAGATCAGTAGAGATATTCCTTTTTGTTTCATAACATTGTACAGTCTTCCCGCCCTTTTTTTCCCTTGATCAGTTTTGCCATAGTTGATCAGCTTTATTAGTCCTTTAAAAGAACTTTCAGATTTGTTGGTTCACTAAATTATGCACTTGTTTTCTATTTTATTAATTTTTATTGTTTAATATTCCTTCTACTTCTGTAGTTTTATTTTGCTCTTTTTCTAATTGTTAAAACTAATGTCACTAGATGGATGCTTATTAACTCATGAATGTTCAATCTTTTGTAAAATACACACTCTAGGCCATAAATTTCCCTTTATGCACTGTTTTGACTGTATTCATAAATTGAGGTTTATGCCATCTAGGACATTTTCTTTTTTTTTTCTTTTTTTTTTTTTTTTTTTTGCGGTATGCGGGACTCTCACTGTTGTGGCCTCCCCCGTTGCGGAGCACAGGCTCCGGACGCGCAGGCTCAGCGGCCATGGCTCATGGGCCCAGCTGCTCTTTGGCATGTGGGATCCTCCCGGACCAGGGCACGAACCCGTGTCTCCTGCATCGGCAGGCGGACTCTCAACCACTGCGCCACCAGGGAAGCCCTGGGACATTTTCTAATTTCCTTAGTGATTTCTTTGATCATATGTTATTTAGAAGTGTACTTTTAAAATTTCCAAACCTATGCATTTTTTTTTTTTTTTTTCGGTATGCGGGCCTCTCACTCTTGTGGCCTCTCACGTTGCGGAGCACAGGCTCCGGACGCGCAGGCTCAGCGGCCATGGCTCACGGGCCCAGCTGCTCCGCGGCATGTGGGATCTTCCCAGTCCGGGGTACGAACCCGTGTCCCCTGCATCGGCAGGTGGACTCTCAACCACTGCGCCACGAGGGAAGCCCCAAACCTATGTATTTTTAAGTTATATTTTTGTTATTTCTAACTCTATATCATTTTGGTAAAAACAAAAATTCTTGCTGATTTTTTTTTGGTCTGTTTTTTCTTTCTTTACTGTTGTGTGTTAAAATTTCCCACTATAGTTGTGGATTTTTCTTGTCTTTGTAATCTCTTAAGCCTTCCTTTACATGTTTTGATGTCATGCTATTAAATGCATACAAATTAAGAATTGGTATATTTCAATCAGTATTTTTGCCTCAAAATTTACTTTGAGATTAATATAGCTAAAACAGTTGTTTTTTCTTTTACTTGGTGTTTGTACAGTATTTTTTTATCTTTTAACTTTCAGTCTTTCTGAAACTATACTTTTAGATGTATCTCTTAAAATCTGCATATAGATTTTTAAAAAATTTGTCATGAAAATCTTTGTTTAGGACAATTATTTCATTTATATTATAAATTACTGAAATTTGTATATGAATCTATTATCCTTTTAAGTACTTTATACTGCCTATTTTTATTTTTCTCTCCTTTCTTGCTTCATTGGAATTGGTACTTTTTATTTATTTATTTCCCTGGTAGTTTGAAAATTATATTTGATTTTACTATTTGTTTTGTCACTACCCAAGAGATAACAATAGGCTTCTGTGACATCTGCAAATTGAATGTTTACATCATGCTTTTATCCTCTTCCTGGACAAAGCAAGGACTCTAGAACTAAAGTGTTTTTCAAACTTACTTGACTAAGAATCATCTGGTGTCTTATTAAAAATGCAGACTCCAGTTTATCCCTTTTTTGAACCCTAAATGTAGAGTTTACCAGAGTTTCACCTTTGAAAATCCTGGACTTCACTTTTGTCCCGTTAACCTAAAATGATATTAAAGCTCTATTCTTCTCTGCTGTCTATTCAGAATCAACAAATGTCTCCAATGCAAAAACAGCCTTAAAAGCCAGTATCACTCTCTGGATCTCTGACCTATGAGTTTGGTTTCCATAATTCTTAATATCTTATCTCTCAGATACCTTAAAGCAGAAGTATAGAAGTTCTTTGCCCAGGACTTTTACTAATCTTCAGTGGTTAGATTGGCCTAAACTACCTAGTTCACCATAACAAGAAGTGGAATTCCACTTTACATTTTTTATATTTATACAAATTTATTTGATGGGGTTAAATTACTTGCCAGGCAAAGTTTCAACAGTGAAAATTGAAACTATTTGTCATTAATGGCTTTTGTTGACTTGCAAAAAATCTCATCACAAAGGCATTTACATGGTGGTTAAGAGCACAGCTCTTTAGCCAGATTACCTGCTTTTTTAATCTCACTCTTTGCATACTAGTGGTTTGATCTTAGGGAAGGTGCTTTAACCTCTGTTAAGTACCTCATCTGGAAAAATTGATGAAAATAATAGTCTTGAGGTTATTACATGTCAATATATGTCAAATGGTTAAACCATATTTGCAAATACCAAGTGAATCAGCAAAATGTCTGCAAAATATTAGAATAAAATCTCCTTGTAAGTTAGAGTACTTCTATTAGGTTTTTCCTGTGGATAATCTAATGTTAGCTAAGGTTTAGGATTTTTTTAACATGAAATTTTTAGGTTTTTATTTCCTCCTTGATCTTATTTCTGTATTTTGGGGGTCATCTTAATTTGTAGTTTGAAGTTATTCTCCAGCTACTGGAAAATTTTGTATATTGTTCTCTTGGCCAATTGAGCATAACCAGATGTAAAAATATATACTCTATTCATTTGTAGCTTACTCCATCTGGAAGCATTTCTCTTATCAAATCAATGCATTTAATTAAAAATCCTGTGAAGACCTGTGACAAAGTGTATTTCTTGATACAAAGTTTGACTTCTCAAATCAGACATCGAATGGAAGATCCCAAATCATCAGGTAAATATTTTGTTTTCCTTAGATTAGAAAACAAATAAAAGGCACTATCCAGTTGCTATAAACATTTTTAAATAAGATGCGCCAGTCATAAAAAATTCAAGCCTTTAATGCTATATCTAGCATTAGATAGGTATGTCTAGGTGTAATTTGAGTTAGTATATATCCAGCAAAAGAATAATAGTGAAGTTATAATTGCTTTTATCTGTGGTAGCATGAAAGGGATAATAAAACATTTTTATTTGGTTAATTATGTAGCATTACTGTACAGTTCAGCAGCAAATAGGCAGCATAATAAGAAGGAGCAAGCAACAGGAAGGTGATCAGTGCTCTGACTCTGAGACTAGCTTAGTTAATAACTTGGGCAACTAACGTATGTAACATATGGAAGGTCTGTAAAACCAGTTCCTAACCCATGTATTTATACCTTTATTCAAGTCTACAGAATATATGGTTGCTAATAGTATATGCCTATGGTAACATTTCCTAGCTTGTTAACAATTTTACCTTTGATATTTAAGAAGTTTCTAACTACCAATTTTTAATATATATTCTTTATCTGATTTTGAAGTTTAATATACTAAAACTGTTATGTTTTAGATATTCAGCTTTATCATAGTGAGACCTTAGAGCTCATGCTACGTAGATGGTCCAAGTTGGAGAAAGACTTTAAAACAAAGAATGGAAGATATGATATTAGTAAAATCCCTGACATATATGACTGTATAAAATATGATGTCCAGCATAATGGTTCCTTGAAATTAGAAAACACAATGGAATTATATAGGCTTTCAAAGGCATTAGCAGATATTGTTATCCCTCAGGTAAGTAATTCCTACATATCAATTTTCTTGTACTGTTATATAGATACTTTTAAAATGTCTATCAGTGGATAAAAGATAGTTGGTTTTTGTGTCCCAGTAAGCCTATAATTTTAAAAAGGAAAGTAACTAATTATGAATTTATATTTTAAACTTTTTGTTATATTAAATCATTGTTTGATTTTTTAATAGTTTATAGTGACTTTTTAAAATTTAAGAATTGATACTCTTAATAATAATATGCTAACAACAAACAAGACAACTGAGAATAGGATGGGATAAATCACTTAAGTATTTATTGGTCATTTATTGTACACCTACCAGCTCTGTGCTATGGGAATGTGTGCAAAGTGGGAGAAAAAGGTAGTTGTGTCCCTATATAAATTTTGGAAGTTTTTTTACTTTATGTGGAAGTATTTTGAAAATAATATTTAGAGGCCAGGATGTAAGTAGTTATTTGTGGGGTGTGGTAGAGGTGGAAGGGGGGGCCTTATCATTATAGGAGAGTAAAAATAGAGGTGTAACCAAAATTCCGATAACTGAAATGTAATTAAACAGAGAATCAGATGATAATAAAGAGACAGGTGACAAGACAAGTTGAGATAAGAGATTTGTTAGAAGAAAACAGTTGCAGATGCCCTTTGGAGAACTTTTTTCAGCTCAACTACTAAAAGATCATTTGGACATTGTAAAAGGGAGATTGGAGTAAATCACACATTCCAACTGTGAACCAAAGTTAAAAAGCAGGAAAAATGAAATACAGTTGATTTTTGACCAATGTAGGTTTGAACTGTAGTGGGTCCACTTATACGCAGATCTTTTACAATAGTAAATACTACAGTACTGCATGATCCACATATCCACAGTTGAATCTGCCGGGGATGCAGGACCACAAATAAGTTATTCTCGAATTTTCAGTGGTGTGCAGGGTTGGTGCTTCTAACCTCCACGTTGTTCAAAGGTCACTGTACATGAAAAATGTAAAGATTGTATATAAAAGTAGCCTCACTTAAAGATACTCATATATAGAAAACAGTGAGGAGGTTCCTTAATAACTAAAAATAGAGCTATTTTATGATCCAGCAATCCCACTCCCATATATCCAGAAAAGATAAAAACTCTTAATTCAGAAAGATACATGCATCCTGGTGTTCATAGCAACACCGTTTACAATAGCCAAGACATGGAAACAACTGAAGTGCCATCAATGGATGATTGGTTTAAGAAGATGTGGTATGTGTATGTATATATACATATATATATATCTACACACATATACGTATATATACATACACACACCACATATACATACACACACACCATGGAATATTACTCAGCCATAAAAACAAAATATTGCCATTTGCAGCAACATGGATGGACCTAGAGAGCACCATACTAAGTGGATTAAGTCAGAGGAAGACAGATATTATATGATATCACTTGTATATGGAATCTAAAAAATAATACAAATGAATCTATATTAAAAAGTGGAAACAGACTCAGACATAGAAAACAAACTTACGGTTACCAAAGGGGAAAGGGAGAGGGGGAATGATAAGTAAAGAGTATGGGATACCCACCACTATACATAAAATAGATAAGCAACAAGGATTTACTGTATAGCACAGAGAACTATATTCAATATCTTGTAATAACCTATAATGGAAAATTATCTGAAAAAAATTGGATTGGCCAAAAAGTTCGTTCGGGTTTTTATGTTATGGAAAAACCCAAACGAACCTTTTGGCCAACACAATATATAACTGAATCACTTTACTGTACAATTGAAACCAACACAATACTGTAAATCTACTACAATTAAAAGTATACTTCAGGACTTCCCTGGTGGCACAGTGGTTAAGAATCCACCTGCCAATGCAGGGGACATGAGTTTGGTCCCTGGTCCAGGAAGATCCTACATGCTGAGGAGCAACTAAGCTCATGTGCCACAACTACTGAGCCTGTGCTCTAGAGCTGGTGAGCTGCAACTAGTGAGCCTGGGCACTACAACTACTGAAGCCCACGTGCTCTAGAGCCCATGCGCCGCAACTACTGAAGCCCACGTGCTCTGGGGCCCGCAAGCCACAACTACTGAGCCTGCGTTCTGCAGCTACTGAAGCCCGCATGCCTAGAGCCCGTGCTCTGCAACAAGGGAAGCCACCATAATGAGAAATGCATACACTGCAATGAAGACCCAGTGCAGCAAAAAAAACCCAAAAAACCATACTTCAGTGTCCTTTTCCTAATATTCACAGAATATCCAGGAAAAACTAGAGACTTTTAAAAACTGGGGATTCAGGCTGCACAACTTACCTATAAGTATTTGTGTACATGTTAAAGTTTAGCTTATTCTTTCAGCATGAAAGAACAGCTATTTATTTGTTTGGTCAGTGTATATGATGTAGACAGGTTTAAGTATATTGTATAAATCAGTGATTTGCAAATAAATTCTCTTTAAAAGAGGATAAAAATATCTCATACTGCAAGAATATGTCTTTGGGCCTCACTATAAGAAACATAGACTTAGAAAACAAGGACTTAGTCTCTGACAAAATCTTTCATTTGCTAAATAGAAGTTTTATTCTGCAAAACAGGTTTTATTTTACACAATAAAAAGTTGTATTTTTATAACAGATAAGAAAAGCAGACATGTAGATTAATGGAACAGAATTGAGAGCCCAGAAACAAACCCGCACATATATGGACAATTAGTTTATGATAAAGGAGCCAAGAACATACAATGGAAAAAGCATAGTCTCTTCAATATAGTATTGGAAAAACTGGACAGCCACGTGCCAAAGAGTGAAACTAGACCACTATATCACACCATACACAAAACTCAAAATGGATTAAAGACTAGAATGTAAGACCTGAAACCATAAAGCTAAAAGTAAACATAGTATGCTCCTTGAAGTTGGTCTTAGCAATATCTTTTTGTATATGTTTCCTTGGGCAGGGAAACAGAAGCAAAAATAAACAGGACTACATCAAACTAAAAAGCTGTGTACAGTAAAGTAAATCATCAACTAAACGAAAAGACAACCTACCGAATGGGAGAAGATATTTACAAATCATATATTCAGTTTGGGGGTAATATCCAAAATATATGAAGAACTCATACAACTCAACAACAACAAAAAAACAGCCTGATTAAACAGTGGGTAGAGGAGCTAAATATTTTTTCCAAAGAAGACATACAGATTGCCAGGAGGCTCATGAAAAGATATTCAACATCACTAATTAGAGAAATGCAAATCGAAACCACAGTGAGAGATCACCTCAGGCCTGTTAGAATGGCTGTTATCAAAAAGGCAAGAAATAACTAGTACTGGAGAGGATGTGGAAAAAAGTATGGTACAGTGTTGGTGGGAATGTAAATTGGTGCAGCCACTATGGAAAACAGTATGGAGATTCTTCAAAAAATTAAGACTAGAACTACCCTATGATCCAGGTATTCCACTTCTGGGTATTTATCTGAAGAATATGAAGACTCTAATTCGAATAGATACATGCACCCTGTGTTCATTGTGGCGTTATTTACAATAGCCAAGATATGGAAAGTGCCCATTGATGAATGGATGGATGAAGAAGTAGTATATATAATACAATGGAATACATAAAAAAGATACAGTCTTGCCATTTGTGGCAACGTGGATGTACCTTGAGGGTGTTATGATAAATAAGTCATTCAAAGAAAAACTAATACTATATGATTTCACTCAAATGTGAAATATTAAAAATTTTTTTAAATAAATGAACAAACCAAGCAAAATAAACATGTATTTATAGAGAAAAGAGTAATAATTACCAGAAGGGAAAGGGGGCGAATTGAGTAAAGGGGGTAAACTGTATGGTGATGGGTAGAAACAACTTCTGGTGTTGAGCATACTGTAGTTTATACAGAAGTCAAAATATAATGTTCACATGAGACATGTTATAAACCAATGTTACCTCAGTAAATTAAGTAAATAGTAAAAGAGCCTCGATGGTATGATGGAAGATAAGAACATCTAAAGATTATATTTGTTATTAAGAGTCTTAATTGAGATGGCACACATTTATTGAAGTTTGAAGATCATTTCTTTGGTGATCGTATTATGAAATGCAGAGGATTCTTTATAATAGCATTTGCAATATAAAGTCCAATGATACTCTCATTAAATATCACCACATAATAAACTTTAAAATATCTTCATCTGTTATTTTAATCAGTTCTTTTTATGGAAGAAATATTATAAGAGAACTTGGGTATCCAACAATTAATTATTTGGTCCTGGTTGGTTATGGCAGCTTACTTTTTCAGCTCTATAAAATATGTCATTGTCTTGAAGGGAAAGGTTTTTTTATTATGAAAGTAATATATCTTTGTTGTAAAATTAGAAAATATAGATATAGCCAAAAAAAAAAAAAATCAGTATGCCATTACCAACTGGAGAAAAACATTTCACTGTTTCGGAAAATTCTAAAAGGCCTTTTCCCTTACATTCATGGATAAAATTTTTTTCATAAATTCATATATATAACAAATGTATTCTTTGCAAAAATGGAACCAGGAAATGCATACTATTTTATAACCTGATTTTTTTTTTCTTGGCATCAAATTTTTTCCAAATCAGTAAAGCTAAATATACTTCATTTTTCCTAATGTCTGAATGATGTGATGTAATAATAACTATTTAACCAATTTCTCACATTTGGAAATGTGGATTCTTTTACTTTCTTTCACTCTCCTTATACATATGTCTTCTACATACAATCAAGAAGATTTCCAGAAGTCTTTTACCAGTTTTGTTACAGACCAGCAGTGTATGAGAGTGCCTGTTTCATTACACCTTGCTAATAACAACAGAAAAATTTCCTTTGATGATTTTAATTTCAACATTTTCCTTTTGTTTACACATACATACACAATTGCATACATATTTCTTTTTTTCATACCAATTTCACAGTCATCTATATTGGTGAGATAATTAACCAGCCAAGCTTTTGTGTTTAAGGTAAATGACCCAAGAGGTTCCATTTTCATACGTCTTCCATCTAATCAATCAGCCTTTTCTTTATTAGGCAGTTTTGAGATTTATTATCCATACTAAAGTTTTGCCATCTGGGAAGTACCTGATAACAGCAAGTAGCCTT